TTGTTCACTCTGTATATAAATTTCGACTTTATCATGTCAAATTTCTTAAATATAGGTTCATTAAAAAGATGTGTAGAAAACATGGCCATAGTATTTACATTTATTACCTTCTATTTACATATTAATTTACTTCTATAATTTTCAGATGAGTTAAATTTTCTCTCTGGTAATATGATCTTTTGAATATCTGAAATATCTTTTAGTTTAAAAATAAACAAAATAAAACGTAATTTAAAAATAAGGTGTACTGATGTACGTTTTAAATAGGACGGCTGAAAGTTTTCAGGGTTGACGTCACGCCGCTCCGGACTCTGTAGAAATTGAATGAATTTGGCTATCCTCTTTAGTTGATATAGTCATTAACTTTGGTTGACAATTCGTTTGTCAGACTAATTAATTGTCTTGTTTGAAAGCCTAAAATAATTATTGTTTATTATTTTATAGATGAAGTAATATTAATATTTAGTTAATATGTACAATTTAATCAAAATGGATAAAAAAATTGCTGGATGTGACTGGAAATTAAAAGTTAGGTTTTTAAGAAAAGCAAAGAAATAAATTAATAAGAGTAGTACTTTTTAATGTGTTTGGAAATGTTACGTCAAAAATAAGATATTTTGTGGGGTTTCCGGTGGTATATTTAAGAAGTACTATTTTTCCTAATGCCTAGAAGTAGAAAAAAAAATTGGATTATTAAGAAAAATATATTATATTCCCAATAATTACCTTTTCATGCGTGATATAAGCATTTTTTTATGTATTCGATTCATAAAAGTACCTTATCGATTCTGTCAATTATTAATCTAGATTTTGATATAAATTGAAATGTTTGGCAAGCTTGCTTATGCTTTACACGAAAATCGAAAAATCTTAGGTTAGAATCACCAAAATTCGTAAGTTTTAACTCAAATTTCTCTGTTATTTATGCGTAACCGGCAATTTTTTTTGTTATTTTTTTCTAGTTCAATTTTTTTTTTTTTTTTCGAAATTCCTATGTCCATTACGTTTATAGGCACCGTGATTTCTAAAAAAGTTATAGAATGCAGCTTCTATTTAAATATTAATACAACTAAATTCAGTTTCTCACCAACCTTGTATAAAATAGAATCTTAGTCCAAATACATTTCTAAATCAATATTTTCAACTCAATAATGAACTCCTGTATATATTATGACATTGTAGAATTTAATCACCAGTAACATATTATCCGATACAAGCTAAGATCCTGCGGTTTCCCTAGCCACTAGCGTCCGTCACTTTAGAGCAAACTCTATCTCTCACAAAAAACAAAAATGTTGTGAAGATTTTCTAATATAAAATTGTATGTGTATAAGCGAGCCACTGGGATTATTTTGCGAGGTTATGTGTTTCAAAAATATTGAGAGATTTAAATTTGTGCAACAATAAGGTAGCAGTTTACAGAGACATTTAGAAAAAGGTGGAAACCCATTTAAAAACTAATAGATATTTATTACAACAAATAAACAGCAAATTTTTCTTTTCTATAAATTGGCGGGCTCGGCGACTATTATTTCAAATAAAAATAGCGTACAAGATGGAAGGCTATGTCACAACCCTTTTAAATTAACCAACCCTTCCCGCTGTCAGATATTGTTTGACAGGTCGTTGGAATGAATAATTTAGGCATTCCAAACAAATGAATTACCAGTGGGCAGGTTTGGTATATCTAAGGGTGGCGACATATGGTGTATTCTATCTACTTTACGTAAAATCATGAATAATGGATTACATTTAAATATTTTATGTCAAACACAATAAAAATAATATTTAAAAAACCCACCTATACATTTCTTCATAAATTGGCAGGCTTGGCGAGTACTACTTAGAATAAAAATAGCGTCCAAGTTGCAAGACTATGTCGCTACCCCCTTAAATATACAAGAATTTCCCACTGGCACCTATTGTTTGACAGGTCGTTGGAATGCCTAATTAACATTTAATTTGCAATAACAAATATTGAGGTCAATAATTGTTACTATCCTATCTTATAAACTGGACCAAATTACAGATAGTTACCAAATTTTAGCAAAATCCGTTCAGTAGTTTCGGAGTTTATCGCGAACATACATCGTGACACGAAATTTTTATATATATACCGGGTGTTCAAATTAAAGTGTTACAGTCAAATACCGCCGAAAATATGCAATTTAGAAAAAAAGTTTCAGACAAAAGTTTTATAGTTTTTTGGGGGAAACATTTTAGCTAAATTCATTTATTTGTAGCTGACCATAATATGATCATATCGAGGTGGACTTTGTTTTTTTAAATGGGAATCCCATTTTTTCTTACATATTCTTAAAGTATATAAAAAAAATAAGAAACTTTTGAGGAAAATATTTTTTTTATTGGACTTTTACTTTTTGAGTAACAGCTACTTGAAAATGTTGCTGCGCGAAAAAAAAGTTGGCCATATTATGGTAAGCTATAAAAAACGATTTTAGCTAAAAGTTTTTACCCACAGAACTATAAAACTTTCGTCTGAAACGTTTTTTTTTATAAAAAGCGGTATATAGCTGTAACGCTTTAAGTTGAACACCCGGTATATACAGGGTGTCCCGAAATTAGACGGTCATATTTTAACAGCATAATCTACATCCTAAAATAGGAGTAAAAGTTCATATAAACATAGGTCTGAAAACCTTTCTTTTCCGAGATACAGAGTGTTAAAAATGAAGTCCTGATGACACTCTTTTGTAAATATTTTCTAAACCTTTAAAGATAACTAGGTGAAATTTGATACAAATGCTTACCTTTTTACGCTCTATTTAATGGTCTAAACTCCAGTTTTTGATCATCTTCATAGGTGGGTAAATTAGGGGGGGCTTAGGGTAAAATTGCCCTAAATTTTTTTTGTTGACACTTTTTAACATTTTTGATTATAAAATTTGGAAAACCAATGTTTTCTTTATAATAAAGCTACTTCTGTTGCATCTCGCTAGGACGCATCATTTTCAAGAAAAAAGCATTTGAAAATTTCATGATAAGTTATTCGAAAGTGTAAACAATAATTAATAGGCATGTGAAATCAAAAATTTTATTTTTTTTTTACTTTGGAAAACCGGTGACTAAAGAAATTTTAGAAAATATTTACAAAAATGTGCCATCAGGACTTCACTTGTAACACCCTGTATCTCGAAAATGAAACGTTTTCTGACCTATGTTTATATGAACTTTTATTCCTATTTTAGGATGTAGATTACGTTGTTAAAATATGACCGTCTAATTTCGGGACACCCTGTATAGATAGAGCAGGCTTTGGAGTTCATATTCCCGATTTAAACTATAATATTATTTTACTAATATTTGCACTGCAAAAATCAAAGCCGTGAAAATAGCTGTAATCCAAACTAATAAATCTGATTGCAAAAACGTGCTCATATGTATGGACTCTTCTAGTGCTATTTAGAGAATACAAATATTAGGTATACTATCCTGTTCAGATAGCTGCAGCTTAAATGTTAAAAGTCAGATTTACGATGCAAAACTTAAGAATATAAATATTACTTTTGCGTGGATATCTAGTCATACGAATATAAAGGGAAATGTCACAGCAGATAAACTTGCTAAATTAGGACTCAACAAACAATATTCTGACGTAATGACAATGGATTATAGAAATATGTTACCCAGAGTTAAAAATAAAATTCTAGTTCACTGTCAAAATTAGATACAATCGCGATTCCAAGGTCGTTTTGGATTCCTCCTTCCTGACTATATATATTCTAAGATATAAATGGATATTATTAGAGAGGCTAAATAAATAATGACCTAAGATGGACGTCCACTGTATGTCAAAATACTCGTAACTTAAAATTAGGTCCAAAAACAGACCTCTGCGAATCGATATGGAGGTGTCAAATTAATAATAGAGAGTTATTGCAAGTTCACTTAAGGTCAGTCACTATTAGTGTCGCTCTTATTTTGACATCTGAGCCTGCGCAGATCACTAACTTTAATAAAGATTGTGTCTGTCCTTAAAGAGAGTTATTGCAAGTTCACTTAAGATCAGTCACTATTAGTGCCGCTCTTATTTTGACATTTAAGCATGCGCAGATATTTATGTTCTAAAACTGACTTTATTAAGGATAGTGCCTGTCCTTAATTGTGGATGTTTAAGGGCAGCAGGTAGAGTGGCGACTTTACAGCTTTCGGATGCGCTCGCATAAATAAGTATAAGGACGAGGATTCTAATGTCAAAATTTCAGGTTTGCAATAAGTCTGATTTTAGCATGGAATTTATTTGACTCTAATTACGATGTCACTATCACTGGCTGGCTTTATAGAAATTTGCAATATCCCTCTATTAAGGACAGGCACAATCTTTATTAAAGTTAGTGATCTGCGCATGCTCAAATGTCAAAATAAGTGCGGCACTAATAGTGACTGACCTTAAGTGAACTTGCAGTAACTCTCTAATCATAAACGGAGGTATACTGGACGTCCGAATACGGTCATGGACGTTCTGACCCTCAAATGGATCTACAAATATTAGAAATTAAAAATTTAAAAAAACCGACTTCAAAAACGTGCAGATGCTGTCACCACATCTTAACCAAATTTATATGGGACCACTCCTGAGGTACTACCTTACTAACAAAAAAAGAATCATATAAATCGGACAAGGTGGTAAAGCATTATCGCTAAACGTACATAAAAAATGAAATGTTTGAGGATTTTCTCATGGACCCAATTATTAGATTATGACCAAATGTATATGGAACCACCCCTGAAGTACCCCCTTTCTAACAAAAATCATTGAAATCGGACACCGTGTTAAAGAATAATCGCTGAACATACATAAGAACAAAATTATCGCGACGAATTGATAACCTTCTCCTTTTTTGAAGTCGGTTAAAAATGGACGTTAATTGGAATGTGTGCTGTCTGAGTGACGTTATGTTTTCGATAGCTCGTTCTACTAATGTCTCAGCGTAACAAATTTAATAATCTGCAAATAATATGATACTATAATATTTTAGCTATTTAGAAACGTTAATGCACCTTGTGAAAGGTAATGTAGGAACAGGAATATTTGCAATGGGCGATGCTTTCAGAAATTCCGGTATAATAGTAGGACCCATACTTATGTTGATTTTAGGATTTGTTTGCATCCATTGTCAGCATTTATTGGTAAGTTTGCTCTTTTTGGTAGGTACTTGCTTTTTTATTTAAAAAAAAAAATAAACTTTAAAAGGTTACATTCGACTTACTGGACAAACTAAATTTGGCCAATTTCAATTTGTTTTTGATTTATATAATACTAATTATTGATTTTAACTCACTTTAGATGCGGAAATACGAAAAAAAGTATATATTAATTATATATGTTAATTAAATACTTCTTAAAATACGAAAACAAGCCTTTCATTAAATTTAACCTACAACTTATTAATTGACATTTCCCTTTAAATAATGAGTGGTGTTACCAAGATTACCTTGATTGTTTCTGCCGTTACCCGTAATATTTAAAAATTAAGTAGTCTATAACAGTTTAGATGTTCTTTTATTTATGAATGTCAATTTGAATTTGGTTTCGAACCATTTAAGTATTGTTTAATTGATAATAAAATAAACCGTTAACCATTAAAAATAATTTGGAGATCCTGAGACAAGTGTTTGTACGAACCATGTGGAGGGTTATTGGTCATGCTTAAAAGGATATCTTAGACAACTTGGTGTCATGAATTCAAAATTTTTACCGGAATATATCGACACTTTTATGTGGAAAGAAATCTATGGAAAAAGTGCGAAAGACAGGCTAAAAAATTCTACTTCGCACATATTGCAAAAATATTAATTGTTTTCTGTTTAAATGTGTTGTTCATCTTGTTTATTTGTACCTTTTTAAAATTTCTATTTGTAATATATATTGCTTAAGCTAACATGAACTTATTTTATTCTTTTATTTGTTAGGGATCGGGGAGCGCCCTCAAAAGTAAGCCGAACAAAGTTTATGAACTATAAACATTTACATATTTATTTTTTTGGTTTATTTTTTTATAGATGGTCTAATATGTATTATTATTTAGCAGTTTAATTATCACACGAAATACAAAGAATTAATGTTTAATTTAATAAACAATTATTGAATAAGCTGATATGAGCAGATATTATTCTTTGATCTGTTTCAGGGGTCGGGGAGCGATGTTTGATCTAGATTCTGTTATTTTATCACATTTAAATACTATTTTTATTTAAATAAATAATCAAAACAAATCATAAAAGCATAATTTACAATGAGTTTAAAAATTACTTTAAACATAAGGGGTGTCATTCATCAAAACATGAATTTTTCAGATTTGTGGCTTCCTAGCTTTTATTTCTTAGTCGACCCTCAATTTTTGGTGAGGGTCCGGTGGCAACACTGTCTAGAGCCTTATCCCGCCATTTCGCGAACTGTGTTCTTACACAGTACGTGATTAAGTTCAAATACGTTTTGTAGAAAATAGTCGTAAGTACTAAGTCTCTATTTGTCAATTTATTGTATATATACAATAACTGTTCCGTTAATTCATGTTTAAGAAACAGATGTTTGTGAAGAAAACATTTTTTTCTCAAATTACGTTTGTGTAGGTTAGAATTTTTTACTTCGGGGTGTCATTGATCACTGAACAAGAAGTGATCAATGACACCCTTTTTTCAAAATATGTTTTTGTTGTTTCTTCTAGATTTGATCGAAACGTAGTCCAGTAAATTTTTTTTGTTTGTTTACAGATGCCTCGAACTCACAAACGAAAATTAGGGGCCAGACATTATCGCAACTACAATGATGATAAAGTTGAACAGGCATTAACAGCGGTTGCCGATGGAAGATTAAGCATAAGGGGAGCTTTACGGGAATTTAAAATACGAGAGAGATATTTATTTAAATTTAAAATACCCTATGGTACCCTGAGCAATAAATTTCATAGAAGACATGTCCTAAAATCTGGAGGAAAACCCGTTTTCAGTTCAGAAGAAGAGAAAGCATTTGTCAAAGACATTCAAAAGTGTTCTGATTGGGGCTTCCCTCTAGGTGAGCGAGATGTTAAGATCCTTGTTAAAAACTATTTGAATAGTAGAGGGATTCAGGAGCCACGTTTCAGCCACAATACACCATGTGATGATTGGGTGAAATTATTTTTAAAACGACACAATAAGGAACTGGGTCAAAGATGGGCTGCTAACATAAAGAAGGCAAGATCTGCGGTTACCAGGGAAACTATTCAGGATTATTTTATTAATCTATAAGAAACACTGCTAAATGTGGAGCCCCAAAACATGTTTAACTATGACGAAACAAATGTTTCTGATGACCCGGGAAAAGTTAAAGCTTTGTTTAGAAGAGGGGTCAAATATCCAGAACGGGTTATCAACCATTCGAAATCGTCAACCACGGTGATGATGTGTGGGTCGTCAAGTGGTTTGCTTTTGCCACCCTACGTAATATATGAAGGAGAACATCTCTGGAATACATGGAAGGTTGGTGGCCCGAAGGGTGCCCCTTGTTGTTCAGAACCTTGTTGCAGTGCTAGAACTCTGTTTGCTAGAACCAAACATAGTTGGATTGATTCCGAAACCTTCACTGACTGGTTTGAGACATGTTTCCTTCCCCATGCACGGAGACTTGATGGAAAAAAGGCGTTACTGGGAGATAATCTCGCTTCACATATAAACATTGACGTTAAAAAAAAAATGTAAATAGAATAATATTTTGTTTGTGTGCCTCCCTCCTAATAGCACACACTTGTTGCAGCCTCTAGACGTAGCGTTCTTTAGACCATTTAAAATAGCCTGGCGTGCTATTTGAACCGTTTGGAAGTTGACTAATCCGCGAAATATTGTAGTTCAGAAGGAACAATTTCCCTCTTTATTGAGAGCAACTTTAGAAAAAATGGACTTCGTCCCATCCAAGCAACGAAACCAAAGAAATGGTAATTCCATTAAAAGAATTTTAGTAAATGGATTTGATGCCACTGGTTTATATCCTCTGCATGCTGAAAGAGTTTTGCGAAGATTGCCCAACGGAAATCCTGAAGAAGCTGAATAGTTTGTCAACGACACTGACCTTCTACGATCACAACGAGAAGCTGGACCATCAAACTCGAGACCAAGACAAAAAAGAAAGAGATTGCAAGTAAAACCAGGAAAGAGCATCACTGCCCAAAGTTCATCTGAAGATGAAACTCCTATTGAAATGGCAGAATCCGAAGAGAGTGATGCAGAGCAAGACATTTTCAGCCCACAAGAGAATGCGGATGCTCAGCAAGAAATACAGTCGAACCGTTCTGATGAAGAAAATAAAACCGCAACGGAATTATTGGAAGAGCATGGATTGCTAGAAGAAGGAAGTTATGAAAATTTACTGGTGAGAAGTCAGCCGGATCAACATACATTTATGTGTGTTGTATAACCAAAATTATATCAGAAGACGAAATGGAAGTTCAGGGATTCAAATCTTTTGTACAATAATTAAATAGACAAAAATTCAGCCATGTTTAAAATGATATCTCTTTGGTTTCAAAATCGGATATAATTTCCAATTTACCAAAACCGAAGAAAGAAGGCAGCATCCATCGACCTGAATTTATTTTTCTAAACTTCATTAAAGTTAATGAATACTGATTAATTCTTGACGAAAATTTGTAATTTCTTTTTCTAATTTTGTTCTAAATAAAGCTCTTTGCAAAAACAATTTTTTTAAGTTTAAATATATTAAATAGAACATTTTACAGTCATATTTTCACTAGATTATTAATGGTTAAAGTCACCCAGATATATGTTGTTTAAAAACATGTTGACCGATTTTCACCGGAGTGACTTTGATCACATGTATTGAGGTCTAATAAAGAACTATGCAATTTCTAGCCCATTATCAAAGACACCCCAGTCAACCAGGTGGCATTAACCAGCACTTTCTATTAAATATGGTTTAATATTGAACGTTCTACGCCATATTTTAATATGGAAATCGATTAAGAAAACCATATAAACTGGAAAAAAACATTTTTTTTAAATGTTTTAGTTTTGAAAATATTTAATAAACTATTTTTAATTTGATTAAACCCACCCCTGTTTACGGTACATATATCTTCTAACTAATCAAAATACTTGGCAACCCTGTACACATATGTCAAAAAATGTGTGTAAAAATGTGCAATTTTTGAGATTTTAATATTAAATTTCTCACTTAAACGTGAATAATCACCAAATTTGTTTTCATTTTTTTTAATACATAAGTACTCTACTTTTTCATAGAACAAAACATATTTTGAAATTTTTGTGTCCTTTAAATCGAACATAACCAGTTTAAAATTATCTTCATATCTTCTAAATCTGAAGACTAGAGATAAGTAGACGAATCGGCATACTCAAAATACGGTCCCAAAAATCGCATGTTAATTGAGCTTCTATAATTAACCGCATGGGCGCTGGTCTGCATACACTAGTCAAAATACATGGCTTCTTATGGGAATTATACATAATTTTGTCAAAATAATAAAAATAAACTTGTTTATAGCTAAATAAAGCACAGAACATACTATGGTATTTATTTCTAAATAAGTTTTGCAAGTCTTAATTGATAAATTATTTAATTTTATCTATATAAAATACAAATAAGGTATGTATGACCAAATTCGAGAAGGTTTCTCAAATGCTGAAATTTACAAAAAGTACAATTTTGTGGCAATTTTTTTTTTTTTAGTTAAAGTAATATATAATTTTATGAGTAAAAAAGAACACGGTGAACAGATTTTTTATTGTTGTAATACAAGTACAAAGGAAGATTTGAGAATGTACATGGTATTACCTCATCCTTTAATTTCAGCTTTCTTCTTTTTATTTTGGTAGTATCATCAGTAAAAATAGTCTCATAATATTTGATAATATCTTATAAAAAGTATAGAACATCTCTAGAAAGTGCTTTATCGGCAATAGAAACGATATATATATGCTGCCACTGTTCTAAACGTTCAGTATCCCATAAAAAACATTTACAATGACACAATTGGGGTCAAAAAAATAACAGTAGCAACTCTTTATCTAACTTTAAAACTATAAGAAATAAATTTTCTTTTCTAGTAAGTTAAATTTAATACATAAATATTGTGGTTTGTAAGTTTGTAAGTAAAATTTAATATTATAGAAACTTGTAATAAAATAAACTACACTTCGTAAGATACATATTGTGACTATTTTACATTAAATATTATATTTAGACATGAGTACATTATTTTACTTACATTAGAACATTTAAAAATACATTAAATTGATTTCTTCTTGTGTTTTCTTTAGTTTCGCATTTGATTTTTATTCTGTTTTACAATCTGAAACGACTTAAATCGAGCTTTGATGTTTTTTATTACTCATGTTACTTGTACTCAGGTACTTTTTTTCACATTGTTTTGATTTTTTTACCAATTTTTTAAAAAATCACTTCATTTTACATTGACTTACATAGAAAATTGACTACGCTGTCATTAGACATGCCAACTACAGTCAATTTCGCGAACTTTATAAAAAGAAGGACGGAAATTTGAAATTTCACTATTGCCAATTCGCCTCCTTCTCTCTAGTCTTTATATTTCTAAGTATTATCACGTTGTACATGCTCTTTAATAAAAATGTCACGGTGTACACGTTTTATAATAATTATGGGATTATCTATGTCCCAGGGATAAAACAACCAAATATACAAATTTCTTAGCCCTTAACTGTATAAGGGTTCTACTTTTGATAGTAGGACCTAACACGTCTCTCTAAAAGGCCAAAAGGAAACAAAATATTTTCTCAAAACTAATATAATATATAAAGGTCGCATTTGAACAGAAACTAGAGTTTAAGTTTTAAACCTTTCTGGAATTAAAATAACTTTAATAATAATTTTTTATAGACCCAGTCAGCTAAAAGCCTTCGTACAAAACATCAAATAGAAAAAAAACTGACCTTTGCAACAACAGTGGAATTATGTTTTCTCCAAGGACCACACAAGATGTCAAAATTTTCTCACAAGATGAAGAGAATAGTTAATTGGTGTTTGATTATTACACAACTCGGATTTTGTTGTGTATATTTTATATTCATCTCGGACAACATTAAACAGGTAATCTTAGTAATTATCATTAAAATTATTGGATAGCATTAGCTGTTTTTTTACGCCCTATTGCTGTCTGTAGCTCAACATAAACCAACAATAGCTTCGTTCGCGGAAAAAATCCTTATGTTTACTGCGGACGCAACCTCTATTAAATCTTTGTAACTCTGTATTCCAGGTATAACATAAGCGTTTCAGAAACAATAATAATTTTACTGCGAACACAGAATAGAAACAATAATTCAGTTCTTTTTGTTTCGCGAAGGTTTTTTAAGGCAGGGCGTAGGCAATGTATTTAACATGGGCATACCTACGTTTTTTTAGTGACTTTTTAGCCGAAACTACAACAAGGAGAAAACTAAAAAAAATCCTGCCGACAATAGATATATACTACTGTCCAATAAAGGTTTTTGCTGTCTCTATCTGTAAGGGATCGTACAAAAATAATTCCTAAAATATGATAATTTTTACGAATAAATAAAGATAATATTATACCAGTAATAACTACCCAATAAATCTTCTTTGAATAGGTTATACAGTGAGCACCATAAGTCTTACCCCCCCTATCTAACTTGCTACTGGAGTCTTGTTAGGAAAATCGCCGAAACACGTCGATTTTTGATTTATACAATGTACATTTTTGTATGAATAGTTTACCCTTAATTTTATCCCTTACTGGAGAGGAGCAACCCTTTCGAAAAATTTAAATTGCATGGGGTGGTGAATGATAGCTCATTTGAAAGAGGATTTTATTCTCTATTCAGCCGTGTAATAAAATTTGAAATTTGCTTCATTAATTCTCGACTAATTGTTGTTTCAGAATAACGGAAATTAACGTAGCGCACTCATCCTTAGAATTAAAATTCGGCCCTACATGATTTCGGTTTTGATTCAGACGTGAAGTAAGACTTTTTGCCATTAGAAGGTCACTGTTAGTCTAGTTGCTTTCCTATTTTGTGAGGTTTTATTATTTTTAAACATTAATAAATCAACACGTAATGAAGCAAATTTCAAATTTTTTTTGCACGGTTGAATAGAGAATAAAACCCCCTTTCAAATGAGCTATCACTTACCATCCCAGAGAGAGAGAGTGAGGAGGAAAGAGCTCGTCTCTTACTCGAAACTCACTTTCCTGGAAGCACACCTTTTCTAATAAGGGACACAACTAAGGTAAGCAGACCCCCAAGAGAGGCCGCTGTAGTGGCCAAGCATATATGCAGCAGAAATCGGTTAAGGTGGGCCGTAAACACTTTTAAACCGTTTAAGTCTCCAGGTGTGGATGGAATATTTCCTGCCCTGCTTCAGCAGGCACAGGAGGAATTACTACCACACATAATCCGGCTATCCCGGAGCAGTCTGGAGCTGGGATATATACCAGAAGCATGGAGAAGGGCCAGAGTCACCTTTATTCCAAAAGTAGGGAAAAAGGATACCACACATCCTAAATCTTTCCGTCCAATCAGCCTCACATCCTTTGTATTAAAAACAATGGAGAAGGCTGTTGATAACTATATCAGAACAGAAGTCCTGGAGAGGGTGCCACTCCACCACAGCCAACACGCGTACCGAGCAGGAAGATCTACAGAAACTGCCCTGGTACAGTTGACTGATGTAATCCAGGATGCACTGACAAACAAAGAAACGGTCGTGTGTGCCTTTCTAGACATAGAAGGAGCTTTTGACAACACGCCACACGAATCTGTAAAAAGAGCACTTGCATACAGAGGAGTAGATAACATTACATCCAGATGGATGGCTCAGCTGTTATCTTCGAGAACTGCAGAGACACAGATAGGGCAGGACACCATCTCCATCTGCACAACCAGAGGATGTCCACAAGGAGGAGTTCTATCACCACTAATATGGAGCCTAATCGTAGACGAACTTCTATGCAGATTGACTGACCTCGGCATACCCTGTCAAGGTTATGCCGACGACATAGTCATATTTGCTAGTGGCAAGTTTAGTAATATCCTGTATGATATAGTCCAAAGAGGACTAGAACATACCAAAAGATGGTGCCGTGAAGTGGGACTTAGTATAAACCCTACAAAAACAACACTAGTAGCCTTTTCAAGGAAAAGAAAACTTAATCTCAAAACCGTTAAATTAGACGGGATAGATATAGAATGGAAAAATGAAGTCAAATATCTAGGCCTAACCCTGGACAACAAACTTCTCTGGAAAACACATGAGAAGGAAGTAGTAAATAAGGCCACAAAAGCCCTAATGGTATGCAGAAACATGGCGGGTAAACGATGGGGATGTAACCCAAACATACTGCGATGGATGTATACTGCAATAGTGAGACCAATCATCACTTACGGGGCTATAGCCTGGAGTAACAGAACTAGTTTAGTTACTACGAGAGCTAATATCTCAAAAGTAAAAAGACTAGCCTGTGTTTGCATTACTGGTGCAATGAAAACCTGTCCTACGGCCGCAATGGAGGTGATCTTAAACCTCACCCCTCTACATTTGATGATAGAGAATGTGGCAAAAAGGACACGATATAGAATGATCAGGAGCGGAGTAATCAGACGAAAGTCTACTTGCTTCAGGACTAAAGATACCTGGGACATGCCCCAGGATGAAATGCAAAAGAAGTATAGTTTTGTGAAAAACTTCAAAACCACAGAGCTGGGCTGCAAGAAAGAATGGAGCCAAGAATCCATCGCGCTTGCAACCGAAAGACGTGCTATTCAGTGGTACACGGACGGTTCCAAAACCATAGAAGGAACTGGAATAGGAGTGTATGGGCCGAGAACCAAGCACTCCAAAAGCTTGGGAAAATACCCAAGCATCTTCCAGGCGGAAATTCATGCCATCGAGAAGTGTATCCAGTTTAACATCGAGAGAAACTATCATAGACAAGAGATGATCATCATGTCCGATAGTCAAGCAGCCATCAAAGCGCTGAGTTCTTACGTAATCAGCTCAAAAATGGTATGGAGATGCCTAGAACAATTGAATGAGCTAGGCGAGAAAAATAGAGTTACTCTCACTTGGGTTCCGGGACATAACGGGGTACAGGGTAACGAGATTGCAGATAGTCTTGCAAGGAAAGGGGCTCAAACACCCTTTGTAGGACCTGAGCCGTTCTGCGGTATCAGCAGTAACATAATATTAGAAGAGATTAAAAAAGAATTGGGTAGTAGAATAACCGATAATTGGAACAATCTCTTGGGGCTGAGACAGGCCAAGATACTTATGGGTGAATATAACCAAAAAAGATCGGAAGCCTGCATCTGCCTGAGCAAGAACAGGCTACGTATTATAACAGGGATCCTTACCGGGCACTGCCGACTAAAAGGACACCTAAGTAAACTGAGGGTAGTAGAGGATAGTGAGTGCAGATTCTGTGAGGAGGAGGACGAAACCTCTATTCACATCCTAACTGAATGTGTAGCACTCCAGAATCCAAGGGCACTATATCTAGGAGGATATCAAATAGAAGAGGGAGACTTACCTAACTTGAAGCCACTTCAAATCCTACACTTTCTTGAGAAAATAGGATTGGAAGGGTCGCTATAGGCATTGAGACATTTCCTTAGTGCAGTGGCGACAGAAGGGGGCACAATAGATCTTTTAGGTCGCAGTGTATTAACACCCCATTATCAACATAACATACCACCCCATGCCATTTAAATTTTTCGAAAGGGTTGCTACCCTCCAGTAAGGGATAAAATTAAGGGTAAACTAATTATACAAAAATGTACATTGTAGAAATCAAAAATCGACCTGTCTCGGCGATTTTCCTAACAAGACCCCAGTAACGAGTTAGTTAGGGGGGGTAAGACTTATGATGCTCACTGTATGTTAAAGCAACAAATGCCACTCAAAAGATCTAAATCAATTGCGTCAATTTCCTTAAAAGCTCATTAAAGTAAATTTTGGAAGAAATAAGAAACAACCATTTATGTGTACCAATTATCTTGCATATAAAAGAAAACTTCCTAAAAATGCATAATAGTAGCCACATAATAATTCGAAGCTTCGTTAATAGATAGCACTAAATTAGTATCGAAGAGAAATTCAAATTCGCAGGACCGTATTTAGGATTTTACTAATATGCTTATCATTTTAGTTATTAAGTTGCTTTGTATTCGATTTTTTAATTTTTTTAAGAAATATACATATTCAAAAGATGCGTAAGCATAAAGGATAATAGTAAGTAATGAAAGAAAACCTTGGTATAGCCTCAGATTTATACGTCGAGATATTGATTTTATGTTTTGGAGTCCGGAAAATGTCTGTATGTACAGTTATTAATCATTAACTTTACTTTAACTGGCGCAAATTCGCTACAGCTTCAGGTTGAAAAACGCGGATAAAACGCAAAAACACGTCGATTGAGTTTTTTGTAAGCTTTCGGGTCATACCAGAAAAATAAAATTTTTCACCCCCTTTACAGATTAAAACTCACCCCGACTTCAGTTTTTTAAATGGGATGATACCACTTGTGGCACCTTGTTGGAAAGGTCTTTCCAGAAGAAAATGGATTGTGCCATTTTTTCCATTTTTACCCAATGGAAATTTTCTAGTGTGAAAAAATTATTTCATATCAAAAAATTCTTCTGATGATTACAAAACCATTCTAAGGTACAGTTTTAAGTGGTCAGTATTTTCTCAATTTGTTTTTAGAAAAGTGTATGAACCGCTTTATCTCAATATTGACTTTTTACCGTAAAAAATGGACTCGGAAAAAATGAAGGTAAGTATAGGTACAAAAAAATTATCGCATTTTTATCAATTGTAAGGCTACAATGAATCAATTTATTGTCTGCGAATTAGTATTCTTCATTCTCGTTAAAAATGCCGGCGTATTTAACGGAAACTTTCAAAATAGAAATTTTGATGATGATTGGGTTCGGGGATCGGATGCGTACCCAAGCAGAAGTTGCAGCATTATTTCAAGCGCGACATCCAGAATTGCCTCCGTTACACCGGGCTACAGTAGGCAAAATTGAGGCTCATTTCAGGTTGCACTGGAATTCTGATTAGGCACC